GGCACCCAATAAATATTTGTTGAATAAATGAATGAATAAATCTTCCCTCAATTTCAGGTCTTCTCTCCCCTCTTTTGTGGCTTCTGAACCTTAAAAGTGAGAAAAAATGCCCATAGGACAATGGTCAGTATGCTGAGGGGCTTCCAAACGAATGTTACAGGAGACAGGGCTGTGGAGATGGGCTCTTGTACTCTGAAAGTAAATGGTTGTGGTGATATAATTACGTTTTCATAATATGTGTAGAACTGATAGCTGGAAGAGAATTATACTTGTGTGAGTTCCGGGATGTATAGATAGAAGGCAGATTTAGGGTCAAAGTAAGAAAATATTACAATAAAGCTCTCCATATAATATAACACAGGCTGGTTTGTGTGATAATGAACTTGCTATCACTAAAAGCACAAAAACTGAGACTGAATGGCCATGTATTATTGATATTACAAAAAGGAATCTTCATTCCTGAATAAGGAAAAAGGTTTGGTTATTGAGAAACCTTCAGAGATTTCTTTAGAGAAACCTGTCAGAGAAAACACTGAGATTCTTTGATACAATGACTCCACGACACCTCATTCCATCAATTTAAAAAAGTTGATAATATGTCCCAGTTATTTCTAGCATCTATTGAACAACCCAACCCTGTCAGCCATTGATAACAATTACCATTAACTCAGCAGTACAGTGGAAAGAGCAGAGATGCTGAAGAAAGGAGGACTCAGGTTCAAATTCTAGCTCTGTTGGTTATGTGACCTTGGTCAAGGAACCTAACCAACACAAACTCCAACTTCCTCTTCTGTAAAAGGGGCTGTATCTGCTTCATTGGGTGGGAATAAAGACTAAATGAGAAACAAAACTAAAGACCCTGGAACACGGTAGAGCAATGTTCACTTTCAAGTAGAATGTAATTTCACCTGTCTGTGTTATCATCAGGATCTCTATATTGTTGGCATAGGTGCTATAATTTTCGAATCCATAATTGCATTGCTTTGAGTGACTATGAAGCAATTGTCAAAGAGCAAAAGTAAGAGAAAGAGAGAGAGAGAGAGATGACAGCTGCTATTGAGACCAGACATAAAATGCAAATGCAAACATTTATAGAGCAACTACTATATGCCAGACCCTGACAATACAAAGATGTTCCTAAGAAGACCATACTGAAGAGGGTAAGATAGACCTATACTCATGGAGTTGTAAAGCAGGGCAAAGAGGGACACAATCTAAAAATAGAGCTTCAGATAAAATTATAGAGAAAATCGAGGGAGAAAGAGATTAATTCCCAAATAAGGTCTTGAGAAGACTTCTTTGCGGGGCCATTTTAGCTAGCTATTGACATATGGATAGGGTTTTAAAAACTGGAGGCTGAAAGTAAGAGATGGAGGAACAAATGATAAAGATATTCCTCGTGGAAGGGTTAGCATGGAAAACAATTAGAAGAATTATTGGAAAAGCGACATTTGAGGACTTGCCTTCTTCACATCAGCCCCATTTTGTCTTCAGTATGCTTACCAGTAGTTCAGTGGCCAGTTTGTCGAGCTTTGTATTTTAGCAAAGGGGAAACAGGAAGAGAAGAATGGCGGGGTATGTCTAATCCTAATGGCCTGTTCAGGTGACATGTACTGGTCATTTCATCTAAGAAACTGGGAGGGGAGAAGAGAGGATGCAAATCAAAAAAATGTCTGCTCACACAACTGAAGGGCCTTTGGGCAAAGACCTTTTCGGAGAAACAGAGTACTCTCTGGTCAATAACATAAACTCCTGCAAGCACTAAGAAAGAGATGTCTTATTTGAACAGGACAGGGGAGGGTGTTTTAACAGTCCCGTCTGTACCGCTGCAAAAAGATTCATTGCAGCTTGAGCTGGGCAGTCTAAACTCAACGGGGGCCCAACAGCTGATTTGGACTCTGTCTCGGAACTGTTTCTCCTTAGTTAAAATGGAGTCACAGCTCCCCCTTCTGGGAGCTAACGTGCCATCCAGCCCCGGAAAAGCCCGCATGGAAAAGGCTCTACTGCAGATGGGCCTAAAACCCCCATGTTTCTCAGTATTTGCCGGCAGCCCAAAACAAGCATGTAGAAGTCTGGGAGGACACTTTTAAGTGAGCCCTATTCTGAATTCTCAAGGGCCTCTCGTCCACAGGGCTTTACATTTCCCCTTTCCAGGAGCTATGAGTCCCAGTCTTCATGATGAGATACTTTATACTGGAGAACACAATTTGGTGCGGAGGTTCTCTTTTTGGGGAATATAGCAAGCAGGAAAGGTTTCTAGATCTGTGTGTGCACATGTATGTAGGAGTGCATGTATGCATGTACATTTGCCTCTGATCCTATGTCTTCAATATGTATAAATGTATAGGGATGGGATTCTAATCAATATAAAAATTAATTTGCCTGCAGTATTTGCATTGGTGGATGGGTATATATTTTACTTTCTGAAAAATAAGGCAGTCCTTGATAAAGAGCTCACATACAGCCCAGATGCATTGCAGGGTTCTGTCTACCAGTTATACTGGGTCCCTGCTCGTGGATAATTCTCTGAAGACACTGGAGAAAGAATCCATGCTCTGTGTGTGTGTGTATGTGTGTGTGTGTGTGTGTCATGTGTGTGTCTAGTGGGAAGAGTGATTGAGATATTGGACTCTTTATGGGGTCATGTTTCCAGATGGAGAAGCTTTGAAATGTATCTCTGAAATGGGAAGTTTGATGAGGGAAGCCAAGCGATTGCCTTGGTGGGAGCACAGTGGCAGGGTCGGGGTAGGGAGCAATGTGTAGTTTCCATGCAGTGTGATGGACTGGAAAGGGCATGGATCTAGATGTCAGGAAATCTAGGTTCTAGTCCTGGCTATGCCACCAACTCACTAAAGAATGTTGGGAATTCTCATTCTTTTTCTGGACCACAGAGTCCTGCCTTTCTGCTCTTTAGTATTCCTCCCAGCTTCGATCATCTATGAATTGGAAAAGAGAAAATGAGAGCAGTTCCCAAGATGGGGTTTCATCCTCTGCCTTCACGCCCCCTACCTAAAATGAACTAGGGAGCTCTGCTCTGACACGAGTTTCCTGAAGGAGATTCTCTGTGTCTGCGTGAAGGCTTCAGCCTGAGGTATCAGCCTCTGGCCAGAGAATGGTATGTCTGCAAGTGCCTGCAGGTAGAACCCACCCGCCAGGGCAGGTTCCTGAAAACACATGTTTGCTTTTATCTTTCCCCAGAAGATTTTACATATATATATATAAGCCAAGTATATTTCTACTTTTTCCCCCAAGAGGCCTTCTTAGTGTTCCCTTCAAGCTGAGGTAGACAAGAAGCTGTGTCTCAGCCTCACAGCCCTTGTCTTCCAGCCTCCCTGCCTGAGAGCAGAACGGCTGCCGCTTACCTTGAGAAAGTAACAGCTGCCGAGTCTGGAAGCCATGCTAACAGCAGTAAAACTCGGCATTTTTGCTGAGTAGGGCAAGCCTTTAAGAGGCAGCCAGGAATCAAATCAATGGCTGGCCCCAGAGCCCAAGCCCAACAGTACCTAGCCAGGGTGGCCAAGGGACTTACCTATAGAGCCTCCTAGCAGGTGGAAGGAAGAGGAAAGAGGGCCTTGGCCGAAACTGTCTTCCTTACTGAGATTCTTCCCAAGGCCCTCCTGCCCTTGGCAGTATTTTGGAGCCGAGCAAGAGATGTGAGGTACAAATCGACAAGTCAATTACTGCCACATTCTGTCATGAGTTCCCCACTCAAATCCCCTTTGCAAATTGTAGGTCTTCCTCGGGAGTCAAACACACACACACAGGCGCGTGCGCGCACGCACACACGCCACCTCTGTGCCTCCTCCCAGGATCCTCCTAACTCCAATGGAGCCATGGGGAGGTACGTTTAGGAAGAGATTCTCTGGGGGCTTCCGGGACTGAAATGGGGAAGGAAAGAGGAGTCTGCCTTAGGGAAGTGGCCCATCCATCTCCTTCCGTATCACCCAGAGCTGCCCCCAGATGAAATTTCCTCTGAGCCCCTGTGAAACTGTGATGGATGGGCAAGTCCCCCGAGGTCGCGTTCTCCTTTCCCTGGAGGGGGATCCATGCAAACTTGCCCAGATCCTTCCCCAAAGCACCAGAAGCAGGAGGTGCGGTGATGATTACACACGGAGAAGCAGGGCCAGTCTCTATCTCAGACTTGCCAAGCCCCAGAGAAGGAACCCACCGCGGACTTCCCCCTTTCTCTGTCACCCACTGCCCAGTGTCTCCAAATTCCCATCAGAATCCTGGAGTCTGCCCAATGCAGAATTTAAAGTGACAGCGTCTCATTTGCCTCAGGGTTTGTTTGGTCATTTCTCTTTCATATTAAACGGTGGGTCCAAGTGTAGTCGGACTCCGTCGTTTGGAGGAATTTTCCGTCAAGGATACCAACATTGGGCTAAATAAAGTGTCATCTGTAGCCCCATAAGCCTCGCCAAACCCTAAGCCCAGAGCCCCAAGAGGAAGTCCACAGCGGGTTTCCCGATGGCTACGTGATCCTATAGTAAGGATCCCATTCCGTGTAAGCTAGAGAGACCTAATTAAAAAGACACACAAGCGCACACATGCAAACACATACTACAAACATGCACAAACACATCGCACCGTAAGTAGGTTATAGGACCTCTCCGTTCTCCCCCTCCCCTACACATACACACACACACACACACACACACACACCCCACAAACACACGCATCAAACGCCAACGACGCCGCACACGCAAACACACACTAGCACCACATCAAGTTCCCACCATGGCACACACGTCGGGAGCGCGCCGGGGCACACACGCCACTCACTAAAACCCGCATTTAACCCTTTGAGCCCCAGGTACAAGAACCCCCCTCCCCGGAACCTGAGAGGAGTCGGCGGTGGCAGCGCAGCCGGGTGAAGAGTGGCCGAGGGCGCCGGGAGGGGGAGGGGGAGGGGCGGGGGCGGGCGGGGGCGCCCCGAATGCGGTCCGGGGCGGGCTCCAAGGGCAGCGGGGCTGCCGGGCGCTGCACCGGCGCCGCCTTACCTGGAGTCAGTGTCCGTCTTTGGCAGAGAGCTGCGGGCGGACGCTTTTTATTCGGCTCGGGGGGAACTTGGGAGAGCCCTGCGTCCAGCTCGCATACCGGGGACGGCGCGAGGACTGCAGGCGTGGGGGTACCTGGCTCCTAGCAGCCTGGCTCATACTCAGCCGTAAAGTCCCCTTGGCTGGTCCCGAGGACAGGCATGAATCCCGGCTCCGGAAGGCGGTCGCTACTCCCTCTGCCTCCGGGCTCCCTCGCTCTCCCGCTGGTTCGCTCCCTGCGCTCTCCTCCTCCCCCCGCGCCAGACCAGTTCGCAGCCGCGGGCACCGGGAGCGAGGCGGCTGGCGAATGGAGAGGGAAGTCCAAGTGCGCCGCGGTCTCCGGGCGGGGAGCAGCGCGGGGGCCGGGCTAGGCGCGGGGAGGGACTTAGCCGGCGACGGGCGAAAATGAATGGGGGAGCGGACGCCGGGGGGCGGGGAGGGAGGAGCCAGGCGCCGGGTTTTATTCTGAGGAGTGTTTTGTACATCTTTAGGCGGAGGAGGAGGAGAAGAGAGAGGAGGAGAGAAGGGAGGCCGCCTTGGAGGGAGGGGCGGCCTGGGTGGGCCGAGGCTGAGCCACCGGGGAGTTCCGTGGGGGTAGGGTGGCGTGTCTCCGCGTATGAACACCCCAGGGGACCGTGTGTGCGCAAACCCGGCATCGTGGTGTGCTTAAGCGTGTCCCTAGCTGTGTGCGTCGCGAGTGTCTGAGTGTTTCTGGGGATGCGGGCGCTTTTATGGCCGTGTGTATCCATCCGAGTGTGGGTTTTGTCTGGGGAGGTGCCCACGGGGGTCCATTTGCGTCCGTGTGTCTCTCTCTGAGTATTTGACGCTGTTTGTTTCCGTGTGTAGGCGAGAAAGCTCACGTAACCTCCCAGAATGAAGCAAGCGCTTCTTTACGTAGGCACGATGTAGGAGTGAAAGCTGAGGGGACGCGAAGTTCTCTGGGGACCACCAGAGGCGGGGAAGGGGCGAGGGGACAGGGACAACAGCACCAATATAAACAGCCGAAGTCTCCGCATTCATCCTGAGATGTAGGCTGGGGTTTCTAACATGGGGCCTCTCCCTGAAGCAGAAAAGAAGGCCCTTAGAAGATCTAAATTCCCACACGATACATATTCTGTATGTTTGCTTACTTGCTTCCCTCGCGATTTAAACCCAATCAGCAATGCGGAGTCCTAGTCCCTTGAAGATTAGGCAAGAGTTGGAAGCATTGCTGAAGCTAACAGATGGAGGGGCAGAAAGTCATAGGAAAAAGTGATGGAAATTAAAAAAAAAAAAAAAACCAGATTCGGTAGAAGTTCAGGCTCTTGGTGGGCTGGAGTCCTGTAGCTATGTGATCTTGGCCAAATTACTTACCCCCTAAAGCCTCAGTTCCTTATCTGTTAAATAGAATAATATACCTACCTATCTAATAGGGTTGGTATGGCGTTCAAACGAGTTAATGTGTGTAAAAACACTTAGAATGCTTCCTGACACCTAGTGAGTGTGCAGTACATGTTATCTGCTATTATGATTGCTATTATAATTAATGTTTTTATTATCCAAAGGGTGACAGGAGAAAGACGTGACCACCAAGGAGGCCTAGAAGGATCTAGGAGCTGGTGAACTAATGGGAGGAAGAGGATTCTTGAAACAAAATGAAAGAGAAATACTTGAGCGATGAACTGGGAACTTGAGAAAAATTATTTAATTGACCAAGAGGGAGGGAGAAAGAGAGGAGAAGAGAGAGAGCTAGCCAGAATGATCCTGGATCTCAGAAGTGCAGGGCAGAGGAGAGGAGGAAAAGAGGGCAGCAGCAGCCAGTTCAGAGCTTCTCTATTTCTCCACTCTAGTCCAAATGAGGAGAAATCAGCACCACGGACAGCTCTCCAGCCACTGGCCAGACCAGGGATTTCTCTTCCTGCCTGGTAGAAACTTCTCCCTTTTGGCTTGGGCAAGTTTCTCCTTCCCTTGGCTTCTGTCTGGCCTGGGTTCAGATCCTGGGCAGTGGTCCCCCAAGGCAATTCTGACTTTGATTCTGACCACGAAGAAATACACTTACACACACGCTGCTTATCCCATCCACTGCGGTATGAAGTCCCAACTTGCTGTTTCCTACCCCTTTCTCCTTTCTTTTCTCTCCCTCTCCTTCTCTGTCTGTCCATGCCCCGTCCCTTTCTCTTTGTTTCTTCCTCATTCTCAAGCTCAGATCTGCTTCCTTGTGTGATGACAGGCAACAGCAGCCTTGCTAATAATGCAGTTCTGAAATCAATCTGAGACAACCTAGTGAGGCACTTCAGATGAGGACCAAGGTACAGACTGATTCCTCTTAGCTCTTTCATTGTTATCGTCCTCTAGAGGTAGGTTGTTGGTCCAGATGCCTGAGAAAGAAAGGAATTAATGCCTTGGAACATTTTTCTGTCTTCTTCTTCTCCACCTCACAGAGTCAATATTTCCCTCCGGAAACATAGAACCCTCCCTAGTTGCAACTACTGTTACACAGAAAAAAAGAGGAGAGAGAATTTTTGAACTTTCACCATACACCAAGCATTTCATTTGGAATGTTCTCTATATTATTGCTTATAATTCTCAAAAATTGCTTTGAGGTATGAGATAGATAATACTATCCCATTTTTACATAATAGGAAATTGGATCTTGAAAAACTTGAGTAGCATGCCAAGGTACAGCTAGTAGGTGATGGAGCCAGGAATTCCACACTCAAGTCCACCTCCAAAATCTTTTTTCTGTCCTCTAGGAATAATATAGAAGCCCTGGGGTGACTGGAAGATCTTGGAATTTAATGGGGCTACCGCACCCAAACCTAAACCTCAATTTAAATGTCTGGGACTGTTACATTGTCTGTGCCAATGGAGGATTTAGTAGCTCCTGTCCCTGGAGGAGGAAGTGAAGGCTTTGCATGGACAGATTTAATGCTCACTTGAGCCTTATGGTTTCTGAGTTTTGAATAAAACTCCAACCTTTCCAGGTCTTAGTTCATTTGCATTTGGCTCTGTTTAGCTTCCCTGTTTGTATGAAGAAAGACTAAGAGGGCCATTTTAAAATGTCTCCAAAGACTCTTTGGTCATCAGAAAAGTTCTCAATGCAAAGCACTTCTAATGACTTATGGAGAGTGCCATCAAAACCATATGGATAACATTTCTGCAGAAATACACACGGGTGGGAAAAGGTTTAGAGGCCAAAAATATATTTCTTTTTTTTTCTTCTTTGCCAAAGAAAGAACATTTAAGGCAGCTTGAGATATGTGAGAAATGTCTTGTTCTTTCTTTGGGGTGGGTGTTGGTGAGCAGCTGTTTGCTATTTCCACTGAATTTACTAAGGGCTTCCATGGGGAGGAGTTGCCAACAGCTTAGAGTAGACTTAAGAAAGAACTTCCTGTCTGTAGATCTTGGGGTGATACTAGAATGGGACCTTTTCCCAAGGGCATTTAATAAGAAAATGAGATGCTTCACAGCATCCTTTATATAGTATGATACATTTAGTAAACAATGGAAAATATTCTTAGGGTCACATACCGTTTTGAGTATCTCACAATTGCTAAAGACTCTCACTGTTATGAAAATTGTACTTACAAAAATGTCCACAAAAGTTTGCATGGAATTTCACTGAATCCCTCTTTGCCAACTTCATTCATGAATGTTTATCCCTGGACCCCAGTCTCTAGAGCAGATGACTTTTCTGGTCTCCAGCCTGACCTTAGATTTTACAGGTTGCTTCATTTAGATTTAAGCTTAAGATATTGGAAAGGGAAAGCCAACAGGGAAATCAATAAGCAGGTAAGCAGTCTTTTCTTCTAGAAATAGATAAGAAATATAGATAAATGTTCAATGATGAAATGGAGATTCCACTTTTCCCTCCTTAAATAAAGACAAGATTTTGCCCTGTTTGTGCAGGACTCTGAGCCACCTGCTGCTGCCTCAAAAGCTTAAATTTACTACTCTTGTCAAATCTCAAAGGAGTTAGAATCCCTTAATCTGGGGTGCTTTGGGTTCAGAACAGGCTGAACAACTACAGAACGAAGCCTGCATTTCTTAAGTGCCTGCTGACTGTGAGGTGGTGTGAAAGATTCAGAGATAAATATTTTCCCCGATCTCTGTCTTCTAGGAGTCAGAAGGCCATTGCAGAGCCATATTCATGCCTAAATAATCACAATGCACCACAGAATGTAGCAGACATGTCCAGGATCTATAAGAAATCCTGCAAAAGCTAAGAGGGGATAAAGTTTGCCTCCATATGAGGTATCACATTTTGCACCTACGAAGAGCTATTTTTATTCGGTTTTAAAGCAGCTGAATTAATAACAAAGAGCATTTATTTATGTGCAAGCAGTATTCAAGTCTTCCATGCCTCTCATCTTGGTTGTAATAAACATCTCCTCGCTGAATAAAAATGCTAAGCTATTTAGTCTCTCTCTCTCTCCCCTCCCAACCCCCTACCTTCCCATCCCATCCCAAACCTGCTGGGGCAGTGTGCTTAAAACACAATTCTCATCTATCATTCTGCTTGTCAAAAACCTGGTGGAATTTTAACTGCATACCCAAGTCAGCCCAGAATTCAACGTCCTCCATCATCTGGCCTCTGTGCTCTTTACAATTTCATACCCAGTTATCACCCTGTACCTTCTCCGCCAGCACAAATGAACTGCTCACTGGTTCTTGGTTCTCAGCTTCCCTCTCTCCATGTCCTAATTCATGCGTGTCCCTTTATTGCCATGTCTTTTTCTCCCCAGCGACCTTCATTTCTACATGACCAAATCTGACCTCTCCTTGAATATTTAGTTCACATGCTATCTCCTGTCCCATTTCAGTTAGAATGCGACACATTTTAACATCAGTGTACAAGGCTGTGCATGATCTGGCCCTCATTTTCTCTCTAATGTCATGTGCCTCCCGCCACTCCAACCACACTGGCTGTATTCCATTTACGAGAGTTTACCAAGTTCATTTCTACCTGTAGGCCTTGGTGCTCGCTTTCCACTTCTGACCAAGTCCTGCTTACCCTTTAAGTATCAGTGTAAATGTCACTTCTCTGACCCCCATACAAAAGCTATCTTCTCTCTCACAACCCTTAATATCTCCTTCACATGTATCATCGTTGCAATTAAATGATTATTGTGACATTATTTGTTCAATATATGAGGAAACATAAAAGATATCTTCATGAAGAGAGCTTGGTACATAAAGATACAGTGAACATGTATTAACTATACCCTGAGTCCCAGGAACTATTCTGTGTGCTTCACAAATATTAATTCATTTAATCCTTCAGACACCCCTGTGATGTCAGTACTGTTATTATGATTATAGCCCTGATATTTAGGGGTGATAAGGAAACTGAGACATGGGGAAGGTAAAC